AAGCCACACAGCATAGCCAAAATTAATTAATTAAATAAAATTTATATGGAAATGCAAAGGACCTAGGATAGTCAAAACAATTCTGAAGAAGACAGCTAGAAGACTTACACTATCTGATTTCAAGAGTAACTATATAGTTACAGAAATTGTGATAGTCTGGTATTGGTATAAAGATAGACATAAATATAAATGGAACAGAATATAAGTCCAAAATTGACCCACACATATATAGCCAATTGTCTTACAATAAAGCAGCCAAGATGTCAATAATTCAATGGAGGACTTACCTGGTGGCGCAGTGGTTAAGAATCCACCTGCCAATGCAGGGGACACGAGTTCAAGCTCGCAGAGCAACTAAGCCCGCAAGCCACAACTAGTGAGCCTGTGCAGCACAACTACTGAAGCCCGTGCACCTAGAGCCCGTGCTCCGCAACAAGAGAAGCCACCGCAGTGAGAAGCCCGCACATCGCAATGAAGAATAGCCCCCGCTCGCCAAGAAAGCCCGTGAGCAGCAACGAAGACCTAACGTAGCCAAAAATAAATAAACAAATAAATAAATTGCGCCGGAACAATTGGACATCCATATGCACAACAATTAACTTTGTTCTTTACTTCACACTATACACAGAAATTACCTTAAAAAGGATTACTAACTGAAATGTAAAACTTAAAGATATAAAACTTCTAGGAGAAAACATGGGAGAAACTCTATTGTATTGATAATAGTAAAGATTTCTTAAATAGAACACAAAAATCACACACCATAAGTGAAAGAAAATGATAAACTGTATTTTACCCAAGTTAAAAACTTCTGTTCTTCAGAAGATACTGTAGAGAATTCCCTGGTGGTCCAGTTAAGATCCTGCATGCTGAGTGGCATGGCCAAAAAACAAAACAAAAATTAAAAAACAGGCAAACAAAAAGACACTGTTAAGAAAATGAAAACACAAGCCACAGATTGGGAGTAAAAAAATGTTTGAAATAAATATATTGACAAAGAACTTTTGTTCTGAATATAGAAGGACTTTTACGACTCAGTAATAAGACAAATAACCTAATTTTTTTTAATGGGCAAAAGAGTTGAACAGGCACTTTGCAAAAGAAGATATATAAATGGCCAAAAAGAATATGAAAAGATGCTTAATATCATCAGGGAAATGCAAATTAAAACCACCATAAGATATCATAACAACTAGAATGGCTAAAGTTTTTTTAATTGATAATATTGTGTATTGCCAAGGATACAGAGCAACTGGAACTCTCACAGTCTGCTGATGGGGGTGTAAAATGATAAGCCACTTTGGAAAACAGATGGGAAGTTTATTACAATGCTAAACATACACTTGCCATATGACTCAGCATTTCCAGTTCCAGGTCCAAGAGATCCAAGAGAAAGGAAAACACATGTCCACACAAAGATTTCTACATGAACTTCCATCCTCATTTTATTTATAATAAGCAAAACCAGAAACAACACAAATGTCCATTAACTATTGACTGGATAAACAAATTGTAGAATACCCATCAACAGAACACTACTTGGCAATAAAAAGGAGTGAACTATGTACTGGCACACACAACAACATGGATGAATCTTAACATATCATGTTAACAGGAAGAAACCAGAAACAAAAGTTGATTCTACTCTATGATTCTATTTATTGAAATTGTAGAAAAAAGCAAAACTAAAGTGACAGAAAGCGGATCAATGTTTGGTCATGTCAAAATGACTCAGGAGCCAACTTGAATGGGATTATTTTGGGGCAATCTGGTTATCAATAAGAAAAATAATTGCAATGAATGAAACATATCAAATGTGTTTCAATCCATGAGTTTATAATGATATTAAACCACACACACACACACACACACACACACACACACAATTAAAAAAATATAAGAATATGACAAACTAACAATTTTCAGTTGGGAAGACAAAAATGTTGTTATATATATATATTTTAATAGATCTTTATTGGAGTATAATTGCTTCACAATACTGTGTTAGTTTCTGCTGTACAACAAAGTGAATCAGTCATACGCATACACATGTCCCCATACCCCTCCCTCTTGAGCCTCCCTCCCACCCTCCCTATCCCACCCCTCTAGGTCATCGCAAAGCACCGAGCTGATTTCCCTGTGCTATGCTGCTGCTTCCCACTAGCTAACTATTTTACGTTCGGTAGTGTATATATGTCGATGCTACTCTCACTTCACCCCAGCTTCCCCTTCCCACCCCATGTCCTCAAGTCCATGCTCTATGTCAACATCTTTATTCCTGTCCTGCAACTAGGTTTATCAGTACCAGTTTTTTTTTTTTTTAGATTTGATATATATGCGTTATCATACGGTATTTTTCTCTTTTTGACTTACTTCACTCTGTATGACAGACTCTAGGTCCATCCACCTCACTACAAATAACTCAATTTTGTTTCTTTTTATGGCTGAGTAATATTCCATTGTCTTTACATTATTTCTAACAATATCTTGACCTGACCACAAAGATCTTAAAATTGAGAAATAAAATACTTACTGACCATGGTTACTGATTGAAATAAATCGAGGCAAATGAAAATGTGTTAATTTGTAAGATTGGGAGTGAAAAAAATTTTTCCTGTTGAAACATTTAATGTTGTTTTAACAATAAATAAAACTCTGAAACTTTTTCTATAAACCATCGGACCTTGCATTCTACCCACAGAAATTCCCTGAATTCACACTGTGTGTCCATTCTCAGTCCACATAGCTTTTCTTCTTTCTTTTCATATCTGAAATGCCAGGTCCCCTGAAGTCTCCCAGTTTAATTACTGTAAGTGATGAAATGCCAAATAGTCTCCTAAATTCCAGGCCACTTGGGTGGTGTTTTGACACTCAAAGTCCTAGGTTTACATTTGATCATGTTTACGTTACACCAATCAGTCCATAGACCTTTTGTCAGGGTTTCTATAATATTTTCTCCCTTTGGGTTGGCATGCAGTCATGAGGGAAGCCAGAAAGAATCCAGATGGAATCTTTAAACCCATCATCATTAATGGAAAGACAACTTGAAGGGCAAGCTCTCCTGACAGCTTTCAGTCAATTTGTCTCATAGTCAGAAAACAGCTATTTTTACCTATCACCAGCTGTATGGTGATATGGAAAACTGTATGGAAAACACAGACCCTGAATGGGGCCCAGGGGAAGGGGAGGTTGTGTGTGGGAAGTGAGGAGTGAGATAGTGTTGTATGCCCCAGAATTACGTTCCTGCAAGGAACTGAGGGGATAGTGGAGGCTTAGAGCTAAAAAGAACCTCAGCAATGACCTAGTCCATCCCTTTCACCTTACACATTAAGAAACAAAGGCTCAAAGAAGTAAAGTGAGCAATAGCCTTCAGAGAAGAACCCAGGGTACCCTGAAGCTTAGTTTAGGGTCCTTTCCACTCTACCGCCTGCATTGTTTAAATGAATTATTTAGAAAGCTAAAACAGACATATTAGGAGACAACATCAATAAATTTCAGGGTTCGGTGACATTCAGATTTTGCCAAAACACTAAAAACTGCCTGAGCCATAGAGGTATTCAAATATTAGCAGAAGCTAGTTTAACCAGCTCTAGTGTTCCCTGGGGCACACTTCCCTTGTTTATGTTTATTAATTAAAAAGTTGAAAACAAGAAAATATAAAGATAGGTCATAGGTTCCACATAGGCACAAATTCAACCCTTGATCATTCATTCCTGGTTGAGCAATACTTAATGCGTGTCTGCTAGGCATCAGGCAGCATGCCGGGTGCTGGGAATCCACACAACAAGGTCTCTGCTCCCTCAGAGCTTAGAGTACAGCAGGGAAGACAGTGTATTAAAGTAGTAATTACATTAAAGTGTGTTGAGTGTTAAAACTGAAGAAATTCAGGATTCTATGGATTTATCCCTGGAGACTAACTCAAGCTGCATCATTTGAGTTCCCCAAACACAAAATTCTTTTCGATAAAACATTTAAAGCAACAAACATTTACCTGCTGGTGTGCCATAAATTGTGTGAACATCTGGAAGAGAATTCCGAGGTAAATTAGCGTTTTATAGGTGGACAAATTATTTTGGATTATATACGTCTGATAAATTTAGTACCATTTGACAGTACAGGTCACCTGAAAAATAATTTGACCTATCTTAAAACTTTAGGCTTCCAGGTTTTCACAGTAATTCTTAACGGGTTTTGTCTGCAAAACCGACCCCCCTGATCATTTTCAGAACTCTGGAAGACTCTACCAATTCAGACAAGGGTCTTAACGAATCCTATCCATTTTTAAAGGGCCAGCTCAGGGCCCTGCTCCACCAAACGTTTTCATAGCCTGCGTACATTTTTGCCCCTCCTCTGTTATAGATTCCGCATTTATATAGGGTTTAGCACATCATCTTTTCAATATTAAGTGTGTGTGTGTGTATATATATATATATATATATATATAATACATATATATATGTCTTCCCCGAAACTGGATGGATCTCTAAGGAAAAGACTGTCTCTCCATCCCCCTACAGTATCACCTTAAGAGGCGGTCATCCAAAATCCATACATTCATCATAGAAACAGAAATTCCACCCATAAATGTAAGGGACTGCCTCATTAACCTTGGGGCCCTATTTCCCTCCCACTGGCAGCAATCTGGTTTATTCCACGGGGTGGAGGAGGAAGCCAGGTTGGCGGGGTGGGAAGGGAATGGCGTCAGTGCGAGGTCACAGCACATTGTACCGAATGCCATCTCCACACTACGGTGACATAAACGCAGGACTGAGGGATGCAGCCATAGGAAAGATAGAGGCCCAAGTCACGCAGACTACATGCAAAACGAGGGCAGGAAAGAGAACAAAGCGTGGAACCTTGCGGGGCGTGTCAGGACACCTGGTCGGCGGCAGCAAGCTCCCGCAGAAGGAAAGTGAGAGGCGAGCTGAGCCAAGGCCTGGCAGGATGGGGCGGGACTTCCGGAATCCATTTGCCTGAGTGGCAGGGGAACCGGAAGTGGGAGCGCTGCAGCGGGTGCTGAGGCCGGAGGAGGGACGCGCCGGAGCGGGGCCGCCGGGACTGAGCGAGCGACAGACGCGCCACCCGCCGACGCCGCAGCCGCTTGGGGCCCTCACGGACCCTGTGCCTGAGTGAGTGCATTCCGGGACTCGGGGAACCGGTGGCTTAGAGGTAGGGGTTGGAAGAGGCTGCGATTTGTTATTGTGAGAGGCCCGCGACCTCCCCTCCCCCACCCTGCCGGCCCCTCCCCCGCGCCACCCCTCCCCCCGACCCTTGGGGTGCCTCCCGCGCTCGCCCCTTCTCGGCTGGCCCGGCGTGGGTTCCCTGGCCGCCCGCCCTGCCCCCCCGCACCTCCAGGCCGCTCGCCGCCTCCCTCGGAGCCTTTCCCCAGTACCCCACCCCCAAACCTGCCGCCTCCTCGGCCGCCCAGCCGCCCCGCCTCTTCCCGCGGCCGAGCACCGTGGCGGGGCGCGCCGCCCGGCCCGATGCGGCCCAGCCCGACCCCCGGAGCAGGCAGCCCTGAATCCCCCCGCTACCGCGGCCCGGGGCTCGCCGCCGCCAGCCCCATTTCCAGCCACGCTTCTGCCTCGGGTCTCGGGCTGCTGCCTTTCCCTCCTCCCCGAGGTTGAACCTCTGACCCTTTTTTCCCCTTTCCTCTGTCTGAGAGGCCGTTGGCGCGGGCTCAGACCAGTTACTGTTTTTTTGACGGAGCGCTTTTTCCCACCCGTCAGAAACTTCTCCGTTATCTCCTCTAATATATTCAAAAATCCATAGGCTGTCACGACTCAGAAGGGCTTATTTCTTAGGGGACTGTCCAGTCCAGCACCTCATTTTAGGGATAAGGCCCAGCGAGGCTGGGGATTTGCCCAGGATCAACCAACTAGCTAAACCTGCCAATGGACAGGTTTTCTTAGGTGCTTTTTATCTGGTCCATGTTCATGTACCAGATCAGGATCTTCTGGCCTTCAGGTTTGTGATGTGCCCGTTGCACGGTGACTCACTATTCTTTCCATACCTCCCAGGCCAGCGTTGCTTTTCATAATGTGTGTACAAACCTTAAGAAAACCAAACACATGAAGCTTTGGCCTCTTTTTAGAGCTTACCCATGGAGAAAGGGAAGACCACCTGGACCCACCCTAAGGCCTCATTTCGTACAGCTTTAAATGGGGGGGTTCATTTTGGGGGAGTGGTAAAGGTATGGAGAAAACAAGGGGTATTGTCCCCTTGAGCATCTGAATATGCCTTTGCCTTGGATATGCCTTGTGTCTTTGGATTCTTCTCCTGGGCACATTGTTCTGATATAAAGGTTGCCTCCTTGTGCGGGAGCAGGGGAGGAGTATGAAATCATTGTGCTTTAATGTGTTGGCTTGGGCATTTGATAATAAATTCTGAATGTGCTGGAACCCTGGGACCCATCCACCAGCCCACTGAGGCAGGGTACTAGGGATGAGGCCTGCCTTCGCCTTTAGAATAACCCTGCCAGCTCCATCTGAAACAAAATGAAGAGTCTGAGGTCAGAGTGGAAACATTCTGAATCTTTTAATTCTTAGTGCAACTTTCCCCCTCCATCTGTTTCCTGGTTAAACTAAAGAAACATACAGCTCAGCTTGAGTATTTATAATTCTTTGTTGTTGGAACTGGTTTTTGATTAGACACACACTACACCACGCTGGTATAAGCATTTGGAAATTCTGGTGTTAAGACTGTCATAGTCGGAGTTAAGTAGAGAAGACAGAAAATGCAGGAAATTTGGGAAATGCTGTGCAAGTCACTTACTCCTCATCTTCCCAGAGAACTCATTTTAATGGACAGTTAAAGCTTCCCTGGAAGAGTAGGTCTCCTGATAAATTAATTTCTTCTGACCTTTATCTCCATTCTGTTGGGTTTTTCTAACTGAACATGCTGTTTGTGACCTCAGAAGTTAATGACTTGCTGCACAGAGGCGATTATTATGAATCAGTGAGGTGAGATGGGAGTCAAATCCCTCTCTGTTGCTACTAATTACAGCATTCTGAATACTTCTATGCCACAATATTGCTCTCTACGTGAGGCAGGAAACCCCAAATCACTCAGATTTTTGTGACTCACCACAGGCTGTTCTCTGGATGGCTCCTGATTTGATTCTTCATTTTTATTATAAACAGTACACAGTTTTTTTATCTAACTCCCGAATTATTTGAATCCCCTAAATGCATAGTCCCCAGCTTGGTTCTTTTTTTTTCTTTTCTTTTCCTTTCTTTCTTTCTTTTTTTTTTTTTAATCCTTTGGCTGCACCGCATGGCATGTGGGATCTTAGTTTCCTGACCAGGGATCGAACCCACGCCCCCTGCACAGTGTTAACCACTGGATTGTCAGAGAAGTCCCCCTAGTTTGGTTCTTAAAGAGGAGATTGCATGGGTTTGCCCCTCAGTTGGTTTTTTTTGTTTTTTTTTTTACCGCTGTTTAAAAATGTTACCACGCCATAGGCACAGGTAAAACTGAAAGCTACTTTGTACTGTAAGATTTTGATTTGGCAAAATAATCCAAAATCCAAGTGTCTGAAGGCACAAAGAAACAAATTTTGCTCAGAGGAGGAAGGAGGATGACCTTGTATTCATAGTTAAAGAAGAAAAAGACTAGCTAATTGGGAATATTGTCCTAAATTCTCTCAGTTTTACCTGCCTAGTAACTTTAGGTAAGTGACATTTTGTTCCTCAGTTTCTCTGTCCCTATAGCTTTTTCATTTTGCTCATGGCAAAATTTAGGACTGAGATGAAAGTGTTTTGCTCAGGGTATCAGAATGCCATTAAATTTGGGTAGTAGTAATAGGATATATAAGTGAATTGACTTAGTAAATTAGAATTTATCATTGTTTCATACAGTCTTTTCTATATAGAGCCTAATGCCCTTTGCTCAAGAGTAATAGGTTTTGGAGGGTAGTATATCACCCTGAGTTCAAATCCCAGCTCTCCCTATCATGGAGCAGTTTCCTTAAATCTCCCTGAGCTTCAGTTTTTATTTAAATAACAAAGCTCCTAGCACAGTGTCTTGTAAATGGTAAGTTCTTAAAAAATCTTTATTGCAGTTATTATTTTTTGATCAGTTGTTTACCTGTTGGAGAAACTCTAAAAATCCATGTCTGTAAATTGAATCATAGATCTAAAGAGATCTTATAGTTTATATAGACCACTGGTCTTGAAAGTCGAGTGTGTGTGCTGCCCTGGGATGCATAAGGAGATCCATTGGAATATAGGAAAATATTTAGAACCTGTTTTTACATTCATTTTTTTTTACGTAAAAAAGGAAAAAAATTACGAATATTTAATACACAGGTTAACAGCAATTCACATCTAATTTATAAATATACATATATTGAGGAACATTTCAAAAAGATTCTAAAACATTAAAAAATGTTTGAATCCCGCTAATCTGGGCCAGTCTTTACTCATATGCTTTAGTTCACTTTATGCTTTTCTAGTAGGTGTTCACCTAGTCTCTGCGGCCCCCTGGGAGGAATCTGCCTTGAGAGACAGGTCATGTCATTTGCATTTCTGTTTGTTAGAAATTTGTCTCACTGTACATTGTATCTGCTGGCCTTGTCTTCCTATTTGGGGACATGCAGAATAAGCCTAAAGTCCCTTCCTAGTAATCTTCAAATACTTTGACAGCTATTTGTTCCGTTATTTCCTCTTCCCCACAGTTTTTCTACAGGTTATAAACATACCTGTTTCAGCTATTTCTGATATGACAGGTTTTTTAATTTCTCACCATCTTGGCTCCTTTCCTTGAAACACCCTCTGGTTTCTCAGAATTCTTAAGTTTTTCAACAAAATCTGAACCTGGTGTTCCAAGAACTGAAATGTAGTTGGAGTGCCTGCATTGTGTGTTTAAGTGGTGAGGGATGAATTTGGATACATTTTATTATGGAGGCACCTCATATGTACAGTTTTGTCATCCTTGTTCTTTTAACAATCCCCAGGAAAAATGGTTTCAATTACATAATCACACAGTGAGAGGGGGACAGATTTTTCTCATTTTTAGTAGTGATCGCTCAGTTAACCCTGCATCAGTTAACTTTTGCCTCAAAAATACCTAACATGTTAAGAGTTTCTCCAGGTGGGAAAATAAATGAGGAATGGTTGGGTTTTTAAAATCTATTTTAAAAGTTAGGACATAAACTTTTTCCATTAGTGAGTGGAAAAAGGAGCTGTTTGTTGCTGTATTTCTTTACATTATATATCTAATTTTGAAATCCAGAAAATGGGAAAAGTTGCTCCTTGTTGGTCTTAAGGACAATAGAGCTTTTTGATCAGCCGGGAAGAAAGTTACTTACTAAAATTAAAGTGAGTATTAAGTGCCATATCAGATTTAACCTGAATAGCCAGACTTGAATTAAGAATTGAATGTAGACCCCCAAGAAACTTTTATGTAGAAGATTTAGAATGTTTTATTGGCTAAAAACAAAAAGTTTCTGTGTGGCTATTTGTTTTAACCCTGTAATCCTTTTTTCGTTTTCTTTCATGTATCTTCTGATTTTTCCTCACTTTTCTTAGACAGTGAAACTCCAAACAGATATCATAGTCTGATTGGAACTATACAGGTTCACCTTGCAGTTCTTCCCGATTCTTGCATTTTACATTGATGTTTTCAGCTCCGTGTGGTATAAGTCATAAGTCTTTTGGGTGAAATGGTTAGATATAGGTCCCCTTTAGGGAGTCAGCGTGAACTGGTTTGCGATCAGTGGGCCAGATGTGACGTAATTGGGGTCAGACAAACCTCATTTCAGTCACTGAACAAAGTACCTATATTATCTGATCCTCGTTTTCTTCATTTTGCAGTACTTTTGTGAGGATCAGGGGTGGTATGTATAAAGCATAGAGTAGATAGTCCTTCATAGGTAGCTATTATTTTCTGATAGTTGCAAATTTTAGTAATCTAAAGAAATATACACAGGTTGTGAATGATATTTTACATCCTTAGTCAGATATAGGCTTAACCCTGAGCCCAGTTTTTTTTAGACCTAGTGTCATTTGGAACTGATCAAATTTATTTACATAATTAGTGTTAAAATTGTTTGCTTCTGTAATTTATTTTTCATGAAGGTTTGCTTTCATGTTTAGGGCTTGTTACTTTTTGATCCTCAAAAACTACTACCTTAGTAATCCAGGGTGTTTTGTTTACTCAGTGAATACTTATTAAAAGGCTATAACTCAGTCCTCTTTCTGAGAAAGTTTAGTTGTATTTGAGGATGGCAAAGGAAGGAAATAGAGAGTACGGCCTTTTTTTCTATAAGCCACAAAATCCCAGCTTTTTCTCTTTCATCATCCTTTGCATTTTCCAAGTAACCTCTTGAGCCTGATGTCTCTAGTATGTATTGTCCAGAGTTGGTTGAAAACAGTCTGGTTTCTTACTTGTCTTTCTAGAAGATTAGCATTTCTAATTTTCCTGAATTTCACTTATTCCTTCTCCACTATCAGATGCCATATTTAGGTCGTCGTTAATCAAATTTTTTTTTAGTGGATACCTGTCAAAAGTAAAAATACCTAGTAAAATTTGTAAAAAACCAATTCCAGGGACTTCCCTAGTGGGCTAGTGGTTATTAACACTCTGCTGCGCTCCCACTGCAGGGGACATGGGTTTGATCCCTGGTCATGGAACTCGATCCAGCAGGCTGTGGAGCACTGCCAAAAAAAATTAAAAATTAAAAAAAATAATAAATAATAAAAATGAAAAAACCACTGCCAAAGCCCATGACTAGTTTTGTCATCATCTGTAGTACAGGTACTTGTGTGATGTTTAGTGATCACTGGATTCTAATTGGTGCTGTACTAATTCTTAAGTGTGTAACTCTAGCAGCCTAAAAGGCTCTAATGTAGATGTCATTGAACTTGAAGGGTTTAATTTCTTGTCATTTGTTTCTTACAATAACATGTTTTTATGAAAAATTAATATAGGTGTAAAGTATATACTGATGTAATGCATTGTTCCTGAATGATATTCAAACCTGTCTGGAAGTTTAGTAGTGCTAGATATTTATGGGACTTAGGCAGTCATGTCCTGGACCTCGTCTCTGCTGAAAATAAACTCCAGTTGCATCGTTTCTAGGCAAAACCCAATGAAATTTATTTAATTCTTATTGTTTAAAACCTGACATGTAATATTAAATAGGTGGTAACAAAGAAACATTCCTGTCAGTGAACAAAACATAACATAGACATTTTTTCCTCAGGTGTAGAATGAGCCAAGGAGACTCAAACCCAGCAGCCATTCCACATGCAGCGGAAGATATTCAAGGAGATGACAGATGGATGTCTCAGGTATAAGGGGGTGCACATGCGTTATTCACATAGATGAGTCTCTTAAATTTTGAGAGTCTTTTGACCAGAGCTACAATGGGGTGTTTTTAATGGTCAACAAGAATTGATTACTGTAAATAAAAATCTAATGTTAGAGATATCATTCCTAATCACCATGTGATGTTGGAACTGAGGAATATTTTGAGAGCATGGGCATTGCGTACTGTTAATTTTAATAGATGACAGTGTCTCTACAGTATTCTTTCTTTAAGCTTTTTTAAATTTTGAAGTAATTTCAAAATTATACAAATATTACAAACACTTTAGAAGGAACTTCCTATATCCTTCATCTAGACTTACCACTTGTTAACATTTTGCCACATCTGCCTAATCATTCTGTGTCTGTATCTCTTTGTACTATTTACCAACTTACAGTTTTTTCTGAATCATTTGAAAGTATGTTGCAGTCATCACAACGCCCCTTTACCCCTAAATATTTGAGTGTGTTTTCTGAGAACAAGAACCTTTTCTTACATAACTACAATACAGTTATTAAAATCAGGAAATTTAACACTAACATTATACTGTTACCTAATCCAAAAACCATATTCAGATTTCTGTAGTTATCCCAGTAGTGTTCTTTTTTTATTTTTATTTTTTGTGGTACGTGGGCCTCTCACTGTTGTAGCCTCTCCCGTTGTGGAGCACAGGCTCTGGACACGCAGGGTCAGCGGCCATGGCTCATGGGGCCAGCCGCTCCGCGGCATGTGGGATCCTCCCAGACCGGGGCACGAACCTGTGTCCCCTGCATCGGCAGGCGGACTCTCAACCACTGCGCCACCAGGGAAGCCCCAGTAGTGTTCTTTATATCAATTTTCTTCCCAGTCTAGGATCACACATTGCATTTGGTTGTCGTTTCTCTTCATTCTCCTTTAATCAGAAATATTTCTTAGCCTTTGTTTTTCATGACCTTGACCATTTGGAATAGTATAGGGCATTTATTTTGTGGAATGTCCCTCTCTTTTCTCATAATCAAGATTCACATACATTTTTGGCAGGAGTATCAGGGAAGTGATGTCTTCAGTGCATCACATAGAAGGCATGTGATGTTGATTTGTCTCATTGATGATAGTAGCTTTGATCACTTGGTTACGATGGTGTTGGCCTAAACCAATTCTATTTCGTTATAATATGGTCTCAAAGGTTCTTATTTTAGTCAAGTGGGTTACAATCCACTGTAATTTTGAAACTCATTGTCCAAAGTTTAACAAGTGGGAATCCCTTCAAGCTCTGGCCCCTTTGCCCTCTCAGTATGTCCCATTGTTTTTTTTAGCACTTTATTTTTTTTTTCAGTATTTGTAGCTTGCTTTTAATAACTGTTATCATTTAACAATAACTATATTTAACCTTTATCTGTGTCCAACTGTGTTACCTTTTGAACTACCAAGTTCAATATGATTTTAAGTCCCCAGAGTTTCCTGTTTTAGTATTTAGTGGTTCTCTTTATACTCTTCATAGTTGTATTCTCTTTCTGTTTTGGTCATCTCAGACTTAAAAATCAGTCTTTCAACTAGCTTATTTTGAGTGGTAGTTTTTTTTGTTTTTTGTTTTGTTTTTTTTTGCAGTACGCGGGCCTCTCACTGTTGTGGCCTCTCCCGTTGCGGAGCACAGGCTCCAGACGCGCAGGCTCAGCGGCCATGGCTCACGGGCCCAGCTGCTCTGCGGCATGTGGGATCCTCCCAGACCAGGGCACGAACCCGTGTCCCCTGCATCGGCAGGTGGACTCTCAACCACTGCACCACCAGGGAAGCCCCCTGAGTGGTAGTTTTTTATTTTGACTGTTCTCCTATGGATCAATTATGTGATTATTCTTTCTTAATCTTCCTCATTTGTTTATATCTTTAAAAAAGTATTATGAAATATTTTGAGCATCTGTGTATTTGCTACTCATCCTAAAAAAATAAAACATTGCTGAAAGAATTGCTGTTCCCTGTATACCCCTCATTGATCACATTTCTTTCTCTTTCCTACCTCCCCACCCCCAAGCCAGTAATTTCATGTATTTACATACTATATATATAATCTCTAAACAATATAGTTAGTATTTTTGCACTTTTTTAAATTAATTAATTAATTAATATTTGGCTGTGTTGGGTCTTCATTGCTGCATGCGGGCTTTCTCTAGTTGCGGTGAGCAGGGGCTACTCTTCGTTGCAGTGTGCGGGCTTCTCATTGTGGCTTCTCGTTGTGGAGCACGGGCTCTAGGCACACAGGCTTCAGTAGTTGTGGCATACAGGCTCAGTAGGTGTGGCTTGAGGGCTCTAGAGCTCAGGCTCAGTAGTTGTGGCGCATGGGCTTAGTTGCTCCGCGGCATGTGGGGTCTTCCAGACCAGGGCTCAAACCCGTGTCCCCTGCATTGGCAGGTGGATCCTTAAGCACTGCGCCACCAAGGAAGTCCCTTTTTGCACGTTTTTAAATGGTAAATAGTATCTTTCTGAATGTATTTTTTTCTGCAATAATCATACATATTAAAAATATAGCTGTAGTTTATTCATTTTTTTCTTTTTAAGTAGTATTCAATTATTTTATATGAAAATACCACAGTGGGTTGTCTGTTATGTCATTGATGGGCATTTAGGTCATTTATAAGTTTACTAAAAGTAATAACTAAAACTAGATGCCTTTGTTGTTTCTGGCGTAAATTAGAAGACTTTAAATGATTAGCACTGACTGGGAAAAAATTAGTCAAATGGAAGAAAAACATACGAATATTTAAATTTTTTAAAAAACTTGTATAATATGGAAGGACTAACTTATATTAAAATATATTATATACCCAGATCTTGGTTTTTAAATATAGTTCTCCAATGAAAGGAACCAGGGTTCCTTAGAGAAATGATTGATTCTATAGCTGGAGCAAAGAAAATAAAAATATGGGCCTAGAGCATCTTCTAGTGCAAGAAAGCAAGAAACTACTCAAAAAAGAAAAAGAGAAAAAAAGATGGACGGCAGGAATATCACTGAAGTGATGGGTCCCCAGTGCATCACATAGAATACATGTGGTATTGGTTTGTCTCATTGATGATAACTTTGACCACCTAAAAGACTTGAAAGAGCTCCCAAAGTGCAAAGTTGAACATTTTGAGCAGTGTGACAAATGATGGTATTATTGGTTTATAACTGAAAGAATAAAATAAGTGTTCATTAATGCATTCTGCTATAAATAAATGAGTGGATGAATAAATAAATAGGGGAGAAGGGCTAAATCTTCCTTATAGAATAATTTTAATTAATAAATGTAGAAGTAAGGAGGGAAAAGAAAATCATGGGTAGAACACTGCAGTAATAATTACTGTAGGCAAGATCCATTGATGAATACTAACATTAGTGGACACAGCTTTAAGGAGAAACGGTATATTTGCCTAGCCTTAGAGTATCCCTGTAAATTACTTTGGTGGTTTTAAGATATGCCCACATATTTTTTGAGACCCCTCCCTCTAGGAGGTGGAGCTGAATTTAGTGTCTTGTTTCTAACATATAGAGTATGGAAGGGAAAATAACTTGATGGTGGAGAAAACTGGCAAACACCACCTTACCCAAATGATCAATATTAACATCACCAGTAATAAGTCATGTTCCCTGATATGATACAACAAGGGCACATCACCTCTGTGGTAGTCTTCCCCCAAAATCCATAACCTCAGCCTATTCATGGGAAAACATCAGACAGACCCAAATTGAGGGACTGTCTACAGAACACCTTACCGCAACTAAATGTGTCAGGTCATGAAAGACAAGGAAAGACCAAGAGACTGTCCCATATTGGAAGAGTTAAAGGAGATATATAGATTAAATGCAATGTGATATCCTGATTGATTCAGGAAATGGGCATTAGTGGAAAACTTAGTGAGATCTGAATGAACTTTATTTTAGTTGATAGTATTCCCTAATGTTAATTTCTTAGGTTTGACAAATGTACCATGCTTATATAAGATGCTAACATTGAGGGCTTCCCTGGTGGTGCAGTGGTTAAGAATCTGCCTGCCAATATGGGGGACACAGGTTTGAGCCCTGGTCCAGGAAGATCCCACATGCTGCGGAGCATCTAAGCCCGTGCGCCACAACTACTGAGCCTGTTCTCTAGAGCCTGCGAGCTACAACTACTGAGCCTGCATGCTACAACTAATGAAGCCCATACACCTAGAGCCCATGCTCCCCAACAAGAGAAGCTGCTGCAATGGGAAGCCCAAGCACCACAGCAAAGTGTAGTCCCCACTCACTGCAACGAGAGAAAGCCCACGAACAACAATAAAGATCCAACGCAGCCAAAAAGAAATAAATAAAAAGTAAATAAAATTTAAAAATCCTTACACCTGAAAATTCTGTTTTTAATAAAAAAATAAAAGATTCTAACATTGAAAGAAGCTGAGTTAGGGGTATATGCAAATACTCTACAATCTTTTCAGTCTTCTGTAGATAAATTATTTAGAAACAAAACATTAAAAGAAAAGCAGTCATGATTAAAACAAGTATTGAAGTGATACTCAATACTACTCACAGAGTATTGCTAAAATATCCATCCCTATTCTAGACTTAAGTACCACATATCAAAAAGTACCTGGAACAGATGAACATGTCTACCACCACCACAGGAATGCAGTCAACAAAATCCAGACCATGGGAGAGTCTATAAGTCAGACAGTCGTATTCCTTAAAAAAAAAAGTTTGGGAGGTGGTGGCAGAGGGTGGGGGAACCTATAGATTAAAAGGGATTTAAGAGACAAATTGTCTGGATCCTGATTTTAAAAAACAAATCATAAAAATAAAATTTTGTGACATTGAATTTGAACACTCACTAGTTATTTGTTGATATTAAAGGATTCCTATTAATTTTAGAGGATAGAACTGGTATTGTGGTTATATATATTTTTAATCTTTTAAGAGCTACATGTTGAAATATTTATATATGAAACGTTACATCCTCAGTTTGCTTCAAAATAAGAATGGGGTGGGGCAGTAGTTTCTGGAATGTTGAAATAATACTGGCCGTAAGTTAGATGATTGCTGTATCTGGTGATGGATACACAGAGATCCATTGTGTTATTCACTCTGCTTTCCTGTACGCTTGATATTTTCCGTAATCATAAGTTTTTTTTAAGGGTGATATTAAAAGACTTGACTGTAGACACATTTAATAACAATTCGTATCAAAACATTAACCACCTAAAGAAGGCTTAGCAGCATACTGACAGAAATATTTTCAGTAAATATTACAGATGAAGCATTGATACTGTTGTATTGTCAATAAAAATATCCTCAAATATACTAGATAAGTGTCTCAATGAGCATGACAGGAGCTTTAACTTTTTGTTTCCAAAAAGTACAGATTAAAACAATGGGAAAAGAAAGGAGGGAGAGAAAAATACTAATAACCCGTGCAGGTGCAAGTATAGTAAAATGAGTTCTGATACATTGCTGGCGTCAGAGTAGATATAGCCTTAGCCATTTTGTTAGTAATTTGGAAGTATATCCAAGATCCATGAAAGTGTTAATCCCCTTTGCCCTAAAAATTCCCAACCTGTAAAAGAAAGTGTGTGTGTGTGTGTGTGTGTGTGTGTGTGTGTGTGTGTGTGTAAGTTTCTTCCTCTCAGTCAATAGGAGGCTTCTGGCAAATCTGTCATTAGGATAAAGAGCTAAAAAAAAATGAATGTGCCCCTGGATGCATCCAGTAGGATATTAAGTGGTGTTAAAAATTACGGTTATAGGGAATTCCCTGGTGGTCCGGTGGTTAGGACTCCATGCTCTCACTGCCGAGGGCCCGGGTTCAGTCCCGGTTGGAGAACTCAGATCCCGCAAGCTGTGTGGCACTGCCAAATAAATAAATAAATGAAGATTTTTTTTTAAAATTACACGATAAAATTTTTTTTTTAAATTATAGTTATGAAAATCATGTAGCTACATAGAAAAATATTTCTAATATAATGTTAATGCAGTTATAATGGCTGCTCTTTATTGAATACCTACTGGGTGGCAGCCAGAAGCTGGGCCCCTTTTATACAACTCTCATCTCTAAAAACAGAGTTGCCAGCAGATGTGTAAAACAAAACTCGGGGTTATGTACTTGCTTAAGGTCACTGCACTAGAAAGTAGATAAGCTAGACTTCGAACATAGGTTTTTCTGTCCCCAAAGCTATTATGCCTGAAGGAGATATATACATACATTTCAGTTGTGTTGTGGGGGGGGGTGTGTGTGTGAAAAAATAATGAGAAAAAAAAATACCCTAAAACGTTAATAGGTACTGGGTTAAAATGGTAGGATTATAGATGTTTTGCTTTTATCTTTTCTGTTTTTCCAAGCTCACTGCAACTACTTTTATAGTTAAAAAGAGAGTTTAGAGTACTTAACCCTTTAGAACAGCAGAGCTTAAATTCCATGACATTCTTTAAACGTAAGCTGTTTTGTTGGTATTGAGAGGTAGTTGGCACTTTAGCATACACAGTAGAGAGACGACATGATGTGAAAGAGCACCTACTCAGTAAAACTAGCTAAAGCTTTATTCTTGCTCATCTTATCCCTTCAGTTTAAAAATACTTATTGAAACAATAGTAATTTTGAAAAATTGTTTACACAAGACATGGACCCAAGAGAAAAGAAAAAGTTATCCCAAATCCTGTCACTGTAAAAGAGGAGATGTCTTAATCAATTGTCAAATTATTTCCAGAAATATTTTTGTATTTTCACCAATAGCAGTGAAATATCTCAGTTTCACCACAGTGTCATCTGCACTTGTATTATCAGCAGAAATACTTAAATAGTAACTCCATCTTAATTAATTCCTAGGGGAAGCATAATTGAATGTAGAGTTTGAGAAAAAGAAACAGTATTCAGACCTTTTTGTAGAACTGGGTTAGAGACCTGCTAAAGCATCATGTTAGTTTGTTTCAGGGATGAATATAAAAATTGAAGGGCTTCCCTGGTGGCGCAGTGGTTGAGAGTCCGCCTGCCGATGCAGGGGACATGGGTTCGTGCCCTGGTCCAGTAAGATCCCACATGCCGCAGAGCGGCTGGGCCCGTGAGCCATGGCCACTGAGCCTGTGCGTCCGGAGCCTGTGCTCCACAACGGGAGAGGCCACAGCAGTGAGAGGCCCGCCTACCGCAAAAAAAAAAAAAAAAATTGAAACTTTGTCCTTCCGTTTTGCATCAGTGAAAGGTGTCTTATGCCTTAAGAGCAAAGAGAAGCATGCCAGGGCTAGGTCACCCTTGCTTAGAAATTTGAATTAGACTGAAAAAGCCTGAGTCCCAGTTTGCCAACATCTCACATTTAGAGGTTAGCAGACATTTTCAAAGGCCATATTAAAATCATTCAAATGAAATGCATGCCTTTTGATTGGATCCTAGTTAAAAAAATAGATACTGATACTTTTGGAACAATTGTGAAGATTAAATGTTAGATTTTATGGGATTATTGTTTATTTTCTTAGATGTGATAATAGTTCTGTGGTTTTATAGGAAACTGTCCTTATGCTTAGGAGATGCATGCAGAATATTTAAAGGTGAAGAATCACAATGTTTGCAGCTTACTCTCAAATGATTCAGCAAACACACAGATAAAGCAAATGTGGGAAAATGTTATTGTTGAATGTAGGTGAGTGTGTACAGGTGTTCATTGTATTACATCAGCTTTAAGTATATCTGAAATTTTCTTTAAAAGAGTTGGAGGAAAAGGTAAGCTTTTAAAAAAACATGAACGCATTTTTCTGTTCTCGTTTTCAGAAGGGCCCAGGAGTTAATAGCAGATTGAGAGGAATCAGCTTTAGGGACAACAGAGTAACTGGTTGGACAACTGTTCTGCCTAGGCCAAGAAATCTCACAGGGGAAAATGCCAGTTTCTGATTGTTCTTTCTTCTTCACACCAGCACAACAGATTTGTCCTGGACTGCAAAGACAAAGAGCCGGATGTCCTGTTTGTGGGGGACTCCATGGTGCAGTTGATGCAGCAGTATGAGGTAAGGTGCAGGGGTGAGTGTGGTCCTTGGCTGCTCACGTCAACACATTCATTGATAACAGACTTGGATTCATTCCACTCTAGTTCAGAGTAGAAGGGAAATCAGACATACCTGATGGGATTCTTTGTGCCATCAAGCATGATGAGACAAAGGAAAAAATACAATATTATTTATAAATAAGCTCCCTTTTTTGCCTTGGCTTCCAAGAAGCTTCACATTATATTTGTCTGTTTATATTTGTCCTAGTCATGATTTGTATTTTACTATTTTCTTATTTGTATTTGCTCATTGATGTTTGTCTTAGTCATGTTTCTCAGTTATTATTTGTGTTTTACCATTTTTATATTTCATATATTTTTGTAGTGAACTGTTTTGAATCTTTTTGAGGTTAGGTATTCTCCCAAGGGAAATTTAAAAGAAAAGATAGCTTTATATCTTTTTGGCTCAAGCACTCTAAATTTTTTCATCTCATGTTTCTACTTCACCCTATTCCTTTAAATGGTTGAATAAAGGGAAAGGAGAGTTTGTTGAGTTCGCAGCTTAATTATAAATGTTGGTACCTAAGTGGCATCAGGTTGAGCTGTGACTCAGGTCTTGAGCTGAGATCTAAAGCTGCACTGAAAACTGTTACACAATGGCATCTTCAAAGCCCTTTCAGCAGTTGGTAACATACCACTTGCAGTGATACATTTGAATACAGAAAAGGGAAACTTATTTCAGATGCCTCACAACACATTGCAATTGAGGGATTTTATTTCCCACTAATTTCAGCTTAAATAAATCAAGTTTTTCTCTTCTCAGATATGGCGAGAGCTTTTTTCCCCACTTCATGCACTGAATTTTGGAATTGGGGGAGATACTACAAGACATGTTTTATGGAGACTAAAGAATGGAGAACTGGAGAATATTAAACCTAAGGTGAAATGAAACTTTTTTTTTTTTTTTAAAGAATATCCTTATCTTGAGTCTTTTGCAGATAGTTAAATTGTCAGAAACTGGTAGTAAAAAAAAATTCCTTCTTTAAAGCGTTATTTCACTGTTGTTCTTTGCTTCGTGCCCCTTTAAGTTAAATGATATTGTTTAAGAACATTCCAAATACATGCTTAATTAAGAATCAGCGTATTGCTTGCTTGGTTTGTACTTGTTATAATTATCTTCTGCTGTAGGAAGAGATTTGATGCTAATAAGGTATGCAATTCTGTTGACCTGAGGCAGTATGAGGGGGAAAGTGCTCAGAGGTGGGCCGTGGGAGCAGGGCTATGATTCACTTGAGGAAGTAATTTTGGATCCATTTAGACATATAAACAGATTGGTAATCAAGGCCTCCAAGTTCTTCTGAAGAAAATTTGAAGCAGATGTGAACAAATGTTCAGCCCAAACATGTACCCAGTGCCTTATAGCATTATCAACATCCTGAGTTGGCACACTGCATATAAATTTTTTCAACCCAAACAACAAAAAGGAAACAAAGCTGAGCCATTGATAACAGTTGCTGTAGTTGAAAGTATTTTATTTTTGCCTTTCTAACAGAAAAACTCATGCATATTCCTTTCTTTTGTGACAGGTGGAAATTACTTTGGGTTACATAGGAAGATGTATGTTTCTAGGTGATAGCCACTTTGTAAAATTATTTTTTTGAAGAGAAAAACTTTTAAAAACTATATCCAGCCTCCACCCCACTGACTCTTTTCCTTGAGTAGAACTGTATATTTATACCCACTACGCTCCCTTGGGTACTTTTATTTTTATTTTTTCTAGAAGGTACTTTAAGGGAGTCTTATGATGTCGCAAGTATTTTCCCCAAAGTTTCTTAGATTTCACTCTCTTTTTTTTTGACTTGAAGTGGTTTTATTTTTATACAGTTGAATTTATTATCTTTTTTGTATAGTTTCTGGATCTTAAGAGATTAGCTTCCAACTCCACATAAAATAATTTTCTCATCTTTTCCTAGTACGGTTTTCCCACTTAAGTGTTTTTCTGTTTGGAATTTATCCTGATGTATATGAGGCATACATTAATAATGTTTTCAGATGGCTGCCCTGTTGAAGTTACCAATACCATTTGAGAAGTTCATCTTTCCTTTGATTTTTAAAAAAAATTTATTTTATTTATTTATTTTTGGCTGTGTTGGGTCTTAGTTGCTGCGCGTGGTCTTTATCTAGTTGCAGCAAGCGGGGGCTACTCTGTTGCGGTGCACGGGCTTCTCACTGCGGTGGCTTCTCTTGTTGCAGAGCACAGGCTCTTAGGCACACAGGCTTCAGTAGTTGTGGCTCACGGGCTTTAGAGCGCAGGCTCAGTAGTCGTGGTGCACGGCCTTAGTTGCTCCGCGGCATGTGGGATCTTCCCAGACCAGGGCTCGAACCTGTATCCCCCGCATTGGCAGGTGGCTTCTCAACCAGTGCACCACCAGGGAAGCCCCTCCTTCTTTGATTTTTGAAATAAGATTTTTAACTAACTAGTGGACATTCCTGAGTATTTATCTTTTTTCTCTTTTTCTTCCTTCCCTCAATTATAGGTCATTGTTGTCTGGGTAGGAACAAACAACCATGAAAATACAGCAGAGGAAGTAGCAGGTGGAATCGAGGCCATCGTACAACTTATCAACACAAGGCAGCCACAGGCCAAAATCATTGTATTGGTATGTGGTCTTTGGGTGGGTGGAGACCTTGATATCATTAGGTAAGGTGGGGAGTCTTTTTAGAAATGTGATCACTCATGAACATAGAGAATCTAGGTTGGAAGCAGTTTATCATGCTCCCGAGAAGCTCTTCTTTGATATGTCCCATCGTCTTATTGGTCTCATTTCCTAGAACAGCTGTGGGGTCATCTTTTTTCTGCTCATCCTTGTTTAGAAGTGGGAATTCTCTTTGTTGCCTCAGGTTGCCTTAATTTTTTTTTTTCCCTTGACTATCTTCTGATAATTTTTTAAGTTGCATATGAGACTTTTCCTAGTTCCTGAGTCTCTTTATTAGACCTGAGTTTGGATTAGCCTAGATGTGGTGTTTTGTTCTATTGTTAATATGGTAAAGGTGGTGTATTTATCAGAATCTCTGAATTCTTCAAAATATCAGAGATTCCATCAGGAAGAAAATGGGTACTTCATAGTCTTACCACTAACAGGAAATGCTACCCTTTGTAGAATTAAAGCATTGTCTTCATGGTCTCAGGGATAAACAGCTGTCTATTTCAGTGTTAAAGTTTACCTGTAGATATTCTTAACCTAGCTAAAAATGTATGTTTTTGAGAAATCTGACATGTATTCAGTTCTTTAATGAGATGTAGTGTTAATAAGGTAGTCATTTATTCAACAAACATGCAAGAATCACGATGTACAAGGCACTATCCTAGGTCCCGAGCATACAAAAATGAGTAAGACAGTTCCTCTCAAGGAGCTGGTGGATGGACACAGCAATATAAACAGAATTATTATACTGTATGCTAAGGAGAGAGCAGGGTATATTTTAGACATAAAAATTGACATCTGAGTTTAGTTTTATAGAATTCATTGGTTTCCAGACAAATAGAGAAATGAAAGAAGAGAAGGTATTACAGAGATGAATGAGAGAGAGAGAAAGGGAGGGAGGAAGAAAGGAAGGAAATGATCAAAGGCTTATACATGTATGTGTTTGTTGGGTGAGTGAAGGAGGGTGCTAGAAGAATTTTAGGGTTATCATTGGAATAAAGTTCAAGTCTGGGATAGTTAGAGGCCACAGCCAGGTCCCATGTTAGGAGTTTGGATATTATGACAGGGTTCTGGGGAGCCAGGTCTTATTTTTTTATTACATGGTATTTAATTAATTTATGTATTTATTTATATCCTGCATTATTCCAGAAAAGACTACATTGTGGTTAAGAGTCCATCTCTTAAGTACAGTGGGTGGTACATTGTAGTTGCTTAGGACATATTTATTGCATGAATGTTGCTGAATAAATCCTCCATAAATATTCTTTGTTTCAACCAGACTTTTGAATTTGATATATGGTGGTGTTATCTACCTAAAACATTTGAAATAACCTAAATAATCAACCCCATGGGGGAATGATTGCACAAGGCATTGACTATAATAGCACTAATCATATGACAATTAGGAGGACTGTGTGAAAACAGAATTTATGATGTATTTAAGTGAACAGTACAAATACTAAACGATATGTATATTATATTTAGAATTGCTTGAAAGTAAATATGAAAATTGGAAAAGGAAATAAAATAGTTGTTACATGGTAAAGGAATTAGGAGTGTAATTTTTCTGTCTCCTTTAAAATAATATTTTAACAATTATCAGTTATTATAGAGAAAAAATCACATGGCATACCCTTCATACTCATTTATTAAGGAAAATGTTATGCAAGTACATAAGCTACTTTTCTTATCCTTGCTTGACAATCCCAGTAGGTATGGCACCCTGCTTTTGAGGCTTAATCCTTTTTTATGGCTTTAATTACTATGGTATTCTTTGAAAGTCAGAATAACATATGTATTTATTGGTCACTGGCCATCCTTCCTGGTTGCTCATTATATCTCAACCAAGCTTTGATGTGCCAGCACTGAGGGCTGCTTTTCTTTGTTAACTATTAGATGCAGAGCCTTATACTTTCAACAGTTAACATAAACTAGGGTTTAGGATTGACCTTGTCTGTACTTGACAAGGATGAAAGGAGATGGATTGGGGTAGCATATTCATAATTCTCTGTAGTTCTCTTTGGAACTTTACAGTCACACAGTAAGTTAATAATCGAGGTCCAACGTTTTGCTGAAAAATTTAAAGCAGACATGAATAAGGCTTTGGGCATAAAAATTTTTTTGATTTTTTTTTTTTAGTAGAATGCCTACAGAAAACCTGTTTTTATGAAATAAGACCTCTTATCATACCCTGTAGGAGAAACAGGTGACAACATTTTTGCCTAAATAACAATAACTTGCTGTGTGGCATCATTAGCTATAAACCAACTAAAAGGTTGGGGATTTCTGACAATTTTATAATTGGATCAGTTATCTGTATAAAGGCCATTTCTAGTTTGAGATGATAAAACCTTTCACTTGCCATAAAAGAGCTGGCTTTTATTTACTATAGTAGAAGGACAGACATCTGATTTATCTGAAAATTATATTAGATCATTAACAAATAAGTTAAAAATGAATTTAGAACACATCTCTGTTTTATACTACCAGATATTATGTGGCTCTGATTCATCAAGACAGCATTTGTTCCAACTCCATTTCTCGTGTGTTCTAGTGTAGGTTCCATGTGGCATTAATGAATAGATGTGTATTTGAGCTAGATTATTCTAGCTATGTGGTGGACTATGGAGGATAAATTGAAGGGGTAATACCAGTGGAGGTAGGAAGACTAGTCAGGAGATTTTACATTAATTGAGGTGAATATTGGTAAGTTCCCTAGCCATAGCAGTGTCTATAGTCAGAAAAAAGAATGGATTGGAAAAATACTGAGGATGTAAAAGCTGAGTGATTTAATGATGAATAGATAAGAGATAAGGTACATGGGATGAGAGACTCAGGGATGTTGGAAGGTCAGTTGACACAGAGAATGTAGAAGGAACATAGTCTCTGGGGGTGATGATGAATGGGTTTTTGGACGTGTTAAGTTGGGTGTGCCTCAGGAGCATTCAAGTACACAGTTCTGAAGCTCCAGGAAGAGATCTGGGCTAAAGTGTGTAGGGTGTAGAGAGTACTGGGCCAAGGACAAAACCCTGAAGAATACCAGCAGTTAAGGGACAGGAGGAGCTCAGGAAGAAACCTAGGAGGGATAGTCAGAGAACTTTCATTGAGACCGGTCTAGGGCTTCCCTGCTGGCACAGTGGTTGAGAGTCTGCCTGCCAATGCAGGGGACACGGGTTCGTGCCCCGGTCCGGGAAGATCCCACATGCCGCGGAGCGGCTGGGCCCGTGAGCCATGGCCGCTTGTTCTACGCATCCAGAGCCTATGCTCCGCAACGGGAGAGGCCACAACAGTGAGAGGCCTGCGTACCGCAAAAAAAAAAAAAAAAAAGACCAGTCTAGTCCAGTGTTTCAGAAATCAAAGGTATAACAAGTGCCAGATGGAGAGTTCCAGGGATATTTGAAATCACAAGTAAGTAGGAAAAAACAGTGAGTCTTCTCATCTTATATTCTTCTCTGCTCTTCCCCAGGGTTTGTTACCTCGAGGTGAGAAGCCCAACCCTTTGAGGCAAAAGAATGCCAAGGTGAACCAGCTCCTCAAGGTTTCCCTGCCGAAGCTTGCCAATGTTCAGCTCCTGGATACAGATGGGGGCTTCGTGCACTCGGACGGTGCCATCTCCTGCCACGACATGTTTGATTTTCTGCATCTCACAGGAGGGGGCTACGCAAAGATCTGCAAACCCCTCCATGAACTGATCATGCAATTGTTGGAGGAAACACCTGAGGAAAAACAAACCACCATTGCCTGACTGGCTCCCATCAGTGTTAATAGCGTCCCAGCTTCCTCAGATCAGTTATATCACTGGCACTACAGAATCCTTCTCTTTCTTAAGGCACTTTGCATTGTAGAATGTTCCTGGATGTTCATATCTAGTGTTTGAAGGGGAGGAGGGATTTAAACTGGTCCTGTACATAGAAGGTTTGTTTGACACAGGAGAAAAATTAGCCAAGGAAGATGGTTGTTTAAATTCATTGGAAACCAGAAGGGGACTTTTTAGTTATATGTGTGACACATTCATTGACTTATCACTGTTTTTCCTAGGACAACATCAAGCCTAAGTACTGAACAAAATGAAGATTCTTTCCTTGGCCTTTCTTTCTATGGATTATGTCATATATAATAATAATTAGAATAACACCTTCTTGGCTTTAAAACAGATGTTTTTCCAGTTTTTAAAGTTCATAATTTAGCCTTTTGTTTTTTATTTTGCTTTACTCATACGTATTCTCAATGTTATGGCAACATATAACATCAGATTGAACGTGCTTGTCATTCAAGTATGGGGGATGCTATGGTTACAGGTGAATTTGTTCCACTCTGTTAACCTTTCCCATGCTTAGCAGTGAAAAATAGGTTTTGCCCCATTTGGGGGACTCAATGGAGGGTATTATTTTTATGCTGCTGAATATCATGTCTGTAATAGACCCATGCATGCAGCCTTTCCTCTATTCCCCCTCATCCCCTCTTTTTTTTGGTGGGAGGGGTCCTTGTTAACATTACAAGCTTTTAACATGTTTTTGACCTAGGAGCTCTGTTGCTGGAAGTATAAATCCCCAGCCAGTTACTCTCATGATGATATTACTGATGTGTAATTCATTCTTGTGTGATGGTCTGTGCTATAGAGTCTGTGTAGTGCTATCCATATTCAGAGTTCTGGTTTGTTTTGTTTTGTTTTTCCCTTAGAACCTGTTACAGTTTTCCTTCTTTTGGGGGGAAAAAAACCCCAGAACTCTGTTTCCCACTCCATAAGCCCTGACTTTATTTCAAGTTTTGTAGTATTTTAAGGTGTATATTTTATTTTATTTTTATTGGCTTAGTTTTTAAATTATTATTAGTCCAGAAAAATTTGGCCTCTTCTCATGGGGAAATGGTGAAACTGCTCTTCC